AAACTCACTAACAGCATCACGCTGTCACATTAAGGCATATCAAGATGCGGCCAACCAACCTCCAAAGTGAGCATGTAAAGATGAAACAATTTTTAGTGTAATAGAAAAATCCGAGCCCCAGATGGGACTTGAACCCACGACCCTCCGTGATCTAGTCGGATGCTCTAACCACTGAGCTACTGGAGACTCTATGGTGAGCAAGGGTCAATTTGTGGGCCTCGACTGGAACCGCATCGCGCGGCTACACAGCCAAGTATTGGTAAGCACCTGTGAAAACTCACTAACAGCATCACGCTGTCACATTAAGGCATATCAAGATGCGGCCAACCAACCTCCAAAGTGAGCATGTAAAGATGAAACAATTTTTAGTGTAATAGAAAAAATCCGAGCCCCAGATGGGACTTGAACCCACGACCCTCCGTGATCTAGTCGGATGCTCTAACCACTGAGCTACTGGAGACTCTATGGTGAGCAAGGGTCAATTTGTGGGCCTCGACTGGAACCGCATCGCGCGGCTACACAGCCAAGTATTGGTAAGCACCTGTGAAAACTCACTAACAGCATCACGCTGTCACATTAAGGCATATCAAGATGCGGCCAACCAACCTCCAAAGTGAGCATGTAAAGATGAAACAATTTTTAGTGTAATAGAAAAAATCCGAGCCCCAGATGGGACTTGAACCCACGACCCTCCGTGATCTAGTCGGATGCTCTAACCACTGAGCTACTGGAGACTCTATGGTGAGCAAGGGTCAATTTGTGGGCCTCGACTGGAACCGCATCGCGCGGCTACACAGCCAAGTATTGGTAAGCACCTGTGAAAACTCACTAACAGCATCACGCTGTCACATTAAGGCATATCAAGATGCGGCCAACCAACCTCCAAAGTGAGCATGTAAAGATGAAACAATTTTTAGTGTAAAAGAAAAAATCCGAGCCCTAGATGGGACTTGAACCCACGGCCTTTGGAGGTTGGTGCCCTAGCTTTGCTATATGGTTACTAAGAAAAATGCATCAGGTGGGAGTTCGCTTCCTACAGATGTAACCAATAAAACTTTATGTTGATTTGAGATGAGAAATAGAGTGAGCCTCAGCCTTTAATAACAGATTTTTCCATTGGCAGGAGGAAAAAGTCAAGGTTGATAAAGAAGAAGCAAAACATGAGGCTCAAAAAAGAAAGGAAGCCATTGAAAGAGCAAAGACCTTGCAATATTATCAGGCAGACAGTGTAAAGACATACCATGTAGGAAATGTCAAAAGTCTAAGGCTGTCTACAAACCTTCTTCATATAAGTGAGACATGAATTTATTGGGCCAGCGTACAAACATATAAAAATCCTTTTTCACAAGGTTTTTGCTTTTCTTTTTCTCACAAACCATATCTTTTCTATGTATATACACATTTACATGTATGTTTGCATTCAGATAGGTGTACAGATGACATTTTTATTAGTTCTATATGTAAAGGATGCCCCAACCTGAGATAATTGTCACACATTCTCTTAAATCTAAATTGCATGGGGACTTGGACTGAAGAGATATTGCAAGTGTCCCATAACTTTCTGCTAGTGTTAAATATAATTTTTGTCCAAGAGTTCACTTAATTAGGTCATTGCTATAACAGGAATTCTCGCAGTAACTGAGACATGGCTCTCAGAAATTGACGATGCATGTAGAGCCGAAATCACCCCACCTGGGTACAAGCTGTTTGATCATACACGATCTGATCGATCTGGTGGTGGAACTGCTCTATTGATAAGAGACAATCTACATGCAAGTTGTGTTGATGCTGGTGAGCGTCCTTCATTTGAGTTTTCTCATTGGATCGTCGAGTTCCAGTCGCGAAAATTACAGATTATTATTATTTATCGTCTACACTATTCTAATAATCATCCTGTCACGACGAGTGTATTCTTTACTGACTTTTCGAGTTGGAGAATATCATAATGTCATCTTTACCGTTGCTGATAGCATGTGATTTTAATATCCATGTAGATGTCCCGGGGAACGCAGACAGGGTTTGTCTTAGGAAGCTGCTTGAGTCAATTGGGCCTTCAACAACATGTTAATGAGCCAACGCACTAGTCAGGACACACCCTGGATTTAATCATTACTCGACAATGTGACTCCTTATTGGCTAACATCTCCGTGACTGAGTGTCTGTTTTCTGATCACTTTACTTTGATCTGTGATCTAACCCTGGACAAGCCTCCGTTCTCGTAGAAAAAAATCTCTTTCAGGAAGACTAAAGTGGTTAACGTTAACCTGTTATGCAATGAACTCTCTACAACTTCGCTTTGTACAGATAGCCCTGATGCTCTGAATGATCTTGTTAAATGTTATAATTCTACATTATCTGCGGCTCTTGATCGTCATGCTCCACTTGTCACTAAGTTTATCACAGTGAGGCCTTCTGGTACCGTGGTTTAGTGAAGATATTAACGAGTGAAGGAGGGAAAGAAGGAGAGCAGAAAGAAAATTTGCGTCGATCCCGAGATGTCCGTGATCTGTTTGAATTCAGAAAGAAGAGGAATTTTACAACCTACCTGATGAATGAAGCCCGTCGTAAGTTTTACTCAGATTTTTTGTTGAAAACAACTCCAATCGAAGGAACCTCTTCTCGGCAACAAAGATGTTGCTAAATCAAGGTCATAAGGTACCTTTTCCACCAACTAGTGATAAGTTGGTTTTAGCCAATGAAATGGGCAGCTTCTTTGTTGAAAAGATTGATGCCATCCATGTCAAATTGGACAGACTAGCTGATTCTCTGCATGATTCCCATTTTTGCAATGTNAAAGAGCTCTTTACTCAGAACAGATCTAGCTAGGTGGAAGAATTAGGTTTTCGCAAATACTGTACAATACTATTTGTCTAATTTCTTTTATTTGAAGGATAAATAGGAGATTATGGAAGAACATCAGAGGCAACTGGCTGATAGAGAAGTACGTTCAGCTCAATAGAATTAAGGAGGGGGGGCTTTGCGATTTTCGGTTTTGCGGTTTTGACGGTTTTTTGGATCGGTTTTTGGGCCAAGAAGGTTCGGTTTTTCGGTTTTGATGTTCAGAGCGGTTTGCGGATTTTACATGTTTTTTGCATTCGGTTTTCGGTTTTCAAGAAAACTCTGATGCGGTTTTCGGTTTTTCTTTTCTGACTGCTTCAAAGGTGAAAATGTAGCGGTTTTGTCAGGATTGCATACGGTTTTCGGTTTTGCTGCCTTTTTTCGTCGGTTTTGCTGCCTTTTTTCGTCGGTTTTGAAGGTTTTAAAGGTTTTTTTCTCTGGTTTTGCGGTTTCCCAGAGGCTCCAATGCCCCCTCATTAAGACCTTGCTTGTTTGGAAGGCAATTAAAAGCAGTATGAGTATATTTAACAACTATTCCCCAAAGTGGAGTTGGTTAGTGGTGGATATTTACCGAGCCGAGAAGCGGCGAGGTAAATATCCACCGCTAACCACCTCCACTTTGGGGAATAGTTGTTTTGATATATACTAAAACAGTGAGATAATATACACTGCTTCGTCGTTAATTTGAGTCATTTCTTCGCTTGTCACGGATGCAAACCGGGACGCCATTTTTACCCGAGTTGCTCGGAGGTAAATAGCAAAGGATGTTCGGAGTTTGATTAGCCAATAAGAGCGCGCCTTCAACGCTATCCACTGTTTTAGTATATACTAGTTTTGGATATTCAACACTGTACAAATACATCTTGGATGTTTCAAGAGGAATTATTAATAATTACTAGAGCCGAGATCATCGTTAATACTCTCAGGCTTGTTTCATATAATCCATTACAAAAGAGATGGGTTTACATATATATGTATTTAAGCAATTTCTGTTTTTTTTTTGTTTTTTTTTTTTTTAAGTTAAGCGTCAGTTACAGCAGAAGAAAGAAGAAGAGATTTGACAATTTGCTCAAGCTAAAAAGGTACTTAAGCCTTAATGAGGAGCTGAAAATTTACCAGTGAGTTTTTGTCCTGTGTTTTTTCCTGTGTTTTTCTTTTAAAAATTCGAATCTCTCTGTTTGCCCCTTCAAAGGTTGTAACGCTCAAATATCAGTTTTTCAAAATACTAGCCTTCATTAACTTATAGTTGAGAACCAACTCACGTTATCTCCAGTTTTGCTGCGTGTTTGCTAAAGTAGTGTTTCTCGTCTTTTGCAACTGTAGAAAATGGCGAGGATGCGTAAAGAGATGGAGACTGAACTGTTCAGGTATTAGGGACTTTAAGCAAACCACGACTGCTACGGCAACGAGAACGTGGAAAAACAATAGATTTAATTGGCAGAACAATAGCCCATCACGTGCGTTTTAAAACTTTGTACATTTCTTAGCCGTCTTTTACAAAACAACAACGTGAAATCACCAAAATTTGCGTCGTCTGCGAAGCGAAACCGCGGCGGCAAATTATTTTAATTTACATTTGGATCTCAACGCTACTTTTATGCGTTATGTTGAGTTTGAGGTGTGGCAGCCTATGAGACGGTAAACACATGCAGCCATTTTCGAAATTCTAACTAAAAGTAGAAACTCATTTTTTAATCGACGTCTTCCGTGGCGTTTCCGTACTGACTGCTTAAAGTCCCTAATGATTAGCTCGTTGGTCCCTGAATTTTACAATTTTTAATTTTATAGTATTTGATGTAGTTAGATTGTTTAATTTCTTGTTTTAAGTGTTTAAT